GGGGGAGGGGGGGAAATGGGCATTTATTGAAACCTTAAAATCTGTACCCCCATAATATGCCAAAATAAAAAAAAAATAATTAAAAAAAAAAAAAAGTAAATATATCCACAAGTGATTTTAAAAGGCAATTTAATACATCCTAATAGCTAATCTTATAAAAATTTATGTAATATAAAAACTAACATAATATAAAGTCTCTAAAACTGGAAAATGTTATAACAAACATTAAAAAGATAAAGTTATTGAAATAGAAAAAAATACAGGAATGTCTACCATTACCAGCATTATTTTTATATATATAGCTAAAGTTTCATATATATACATATATATGTCACTTTAGCTAATGCAATAGGATATAAAAATGAAATAATTATTAGAAATGATAAATAGTATATAACATTATATGTTATATGATTATACACATAAAAACTCGAGATACCTAATAAAATGCATAAGAACTAGAAAAATTAGTTGCCAAGCAGTATGAATAAAAATAGTTATATAAAACTTTCATTTGAAACAACATAAATGGAAAAAATATCTCAGGCACAATAGGAAACTCACATGCATGTATTTATAAACATCTGAAAGGTATGGTAGCTATATGGAGGAAGCTATAAAATCTTATGGGAATAAATAAAATCAAATTTAAATAAATGGAGATATATAAAGTACCCCAACTAGAAGAAAAACATTGTAATTTAAAATACTTAATTCATCTGAAATTATTATATAAGTGTGGTGGACTTGTAACCTGAAATTCAATTAAAACTAAATAAAATAATGTAAATATTGAAATGACAGAACAAATATCTCAGTCAGAGAAGAAAAATGTGAAAAAAAATAGCTAGAGGAAGATTTATCTTAATACATTTAAATATTTTTAAAAAGCAATAAAGATACAAAAGACAGTATATAAAAATATTTGTAAAACAAATGACACAGTGTTAATATATCTCATATTAATATACAAGACTCCAATCTATTAATTAAAAAGAAACATTATCATTAGAATGTCAAAAGATTAAAAAAAGAATTTTGAAAGCAGCAAGAAAAGAGTAACTCATCTTACATAAGAGAGCCCCATAGCCTTGCAGTATAACTTGAAGTCTGGTAAATTGATGCCTCCCAATTTATTCTTTTTGCTTAAGATTTCTTTTGCTATATGTGGTCTTCTCTGGTTCCATATGAAGCATAGAATTATTTTTTTCTAGATCTGCAAAAAGTCCTTTCTGCCCTGGGACTAGCAGGGGCTGTGTCAACACTGTGCCTTTAAGGAACAAAATTAAAGGAGAGAACATGGGGGCAAAAAAGAGAGAAAGGCCCGATATGGACTTCTCAGCAGAAACCTTCCAGGCCAGGAGAGATGGAGATGATATATTCAAAATACTGAAAGAGTAAAACTGCCAACGAAGAATACTATACCTGGGAAAACTGTCCTACAGAAATGAAGGAGAGATAAAGACTTTTCTAAACAAACAAAAGCTGTAGGTTTTATTACCACTAGACCTGTCTTACAAGAAATGTTGAAGGAAGTTTTTCAAGCAGAAATGAGAGGACACTAGTTAAGAAAATAACAATATATGAATATACAAAACTCATCAGTAAAATAAATATACAGTCAAATTCATAATTTCTAATATTGTAATAACTGTGCATACATCACTTTACATTCTGTTATAAAACAAAAAACAAAAATAAGTATAACTTTGGCATTTTGTTATTAAGTACGTAATATTAAAAAGGTACACATTTTAACATCAATAAGCTAAAATGGGAGAGAAGTAAAAGAGTTTTATATATAATCAAATTGTTAGAGTAGAAATAGGATGGAATAACTAGTAGATTTTTTTATAACTTCATGGAAATCAGAAAGGAAAAATCTATACTAGATAAACAAAAGATTATGAGAAAGGAATCAAAGAATGCCACCACAAAAAGCCATCAAATCACAAAGGAATCTAAAAGAAAGAAGAACAAAAAAAGGAATTTCAAAATAGTCAGAAAATAATTGAAAAAGCCAAGATCCAACAATTTGCTGCATACAAAAGATTCATGTTGGCTTTAAGAACACATGAAGGCTGATAGGGAAGAAATGAAAAAAGATATCCCATGTAAAAAGTAATCATAAGAAAGCAGTGGGTGACTATATTCAGCCATATTTAGAACAAACAAAATATATATTAAGCCAAAAATTATCACAAGAGACAAAGAATTTCATTATACATGGAAAAAGAGACAGATTCATCAAGAGGATATAACAATTACAAGTATTTATACATCCAGCATTGAGGCACCTAAATATATAAAGAAAATTCTAACAGAACTGAAAGAAGAAATAAAACAGTAATAGAATAAAAGTAGGAGACTTTTATGAACACCTGATTTGGGAAAAAGAAAGATCTCAAACAAACTAGCTTTGCACCTGAGAAAGAAAACAAACTAAGCCCAAAGTTAAACAGAAAGGAGGAAATAATAAACATAACATCAGAAATAAATAGGGTATAGAAAAACAATAGGAAAGGTCAACAAAACTCAGAGTTGGCTCTTTCAAAATATAAATATAATTGACAAATCTTTACCTAGACTAACCAAGGACAAAAAAGAGTCAGAACTCAAATAAATAAACTTACAAATAAATGAAAAAGGAAACATTACAATTGATACCATAAAATAGAAAGGATCATGAGACCACTATCAGCAATTATATAACAATAAATTGGATAACTTAGAAGAAATGGATAAAGTTCTAGACACATACAATTTACCAAGACTGACTTATGAATAAATGGATAATCTGAACAGACCAGTAATGCATAAGAATATTGAATCAGTAACCAGAATCCTCCCACGAAAGAAAAGCACAGATAGCTTTACTGGTGAATTCTACTAGGTATTTAATGAAGAACTAATACTAATGCTTCTCCAACTCTTCCCTCCTCTCCAAAAAAGAAAAAAAAAAAAAGAAGAAAGAAAGGAAAGAAAAAAAATCAGGAAACACTTCCAAATTCATTTTAGGAGGGTACAATTACACTGATACCTAAACCAGCTCAGAACACTACAAGAAAAGAAAACTATAGACCAATATCCCTTATGAACATAGGTGCAAAATTTGTCAACAAAATACTAGCAAGCCAAATTCGATAGTATGGTAAAAAGATCACTCGCATGATCAAATGGGATTTATCCCTGGTAGGCAAGGATGGTTCCACATATGTAAATCAATAAATGTGATATACAACATTACTAGAATAAAGGACAAAAATTGTATGAACATTGTAATAGATGCAGAAAAAGCATTTGAAAAATCCAACATCCTTTTATGATAAAAATTTTAACAAATTAGGTATAGAACGAATGTACCTCAACACAATAAAGGCCATATATGATGAGCCCACAGCTAACAACATACACAACAATAAAAAGCTGAAAGCTTTTCCTCTTAGACCAGGAACAAAGCAAGGATGCCCACTCTTACCACTTCTATTCAACACAGTACTGTCGCGCCCGCCTCGCCAGCAAGGAAGATGCAGCAACCGGAGTTCTTCTGACAGTGCTTTAATGGGGTTCCCTTTAGACTTACATGATGCGGAAGACCCAGCCCGGCAGCGCGCAGGCTGCTATATACCCTAGAAGCACAACCCCTAAGCTGGGATAGGCCGCTCAGCTGTCGAGCCACCAAAGCATTAGTCCATAGCAGGACCCTTCGTTTGCATGCTTGCGCCACAGGGAAACCAACAATTGCGCGTGCGCTGAACTTGTTTGCTACTCTAGGCAAAGCCGGAAACAGGCGCCAACTTGTAATGGCGTTGACACCGCGCCCCACACAGTACTGAGAGTTCTATCCAGATCATTTAGGCAAGAAAAAGAAACAAAAAGCATCCAAACCAGAAAGAAAGAAGTAAAATTGTCTCTACTTCCAGATCACATGGTGTTACACATATATTAATAAAAATCCCTAAATACTCTACAAAAACTTATTAGGAAAAGCAAATGAATTCTGTTAAGTTGCAGGACACAAAATCAACATACAAAAATCAGTTGTATTTCCATACACTAACAGTAAACTATCTGAAGAAAAATTAATCAAACAATCTTATTTTCAGCAGCATCAAAACAATAAATTCTTAAGAATAAATTTAATCAAGAAAGTGAGGGCTTTACACACTGAAAATTACAAGACATTGATGAAAGAAAACTGCAGAAGACACAAATAAATGGAAAGATATCCTGTGTTCACAGGTCAGAAGAATTAATATTGTTAAAATGTCATAGTCATCTATAGATTCAGTACAATCCCTATCAAAATTCAAAGGCCATTTTTCCCAGATATGCAAAAAACAAAATAAATTTGTAGAGAATTACAAAAGACTCCAAATAAGCCAAATCAATCTTTATTTACTTTTTATTTTACTGAATTTTTAAATTTTTTGTTTTTGTTTTTGAGACAGAGTCTCACTCTGTTGCCTGGGCTAGAGTGGGTTGCAGTGACCTATGATGAGGCCACTGCACTCCAGCCAGAGAGACTCGTTTCATAAATAAATAAATACATAAATAAATTTTTAAAAAATAGTGGTACATCAATTCTATGGAATAGCATTTAGCTGGTAAAAAGAATGAGGTAAGTCTATATGCATTTAGGTGAAAAGATGTCTAAGATTTTGGCTATTAATATAAGTAAAAATGCAGAACAGCATGTGCAACATAATCTCATTTATTACAAGATGGGAACACAAATTTTGTATTTAAAAAACACAGTGTATTATAGGCTTAAGCTTAATCCACGATAGCATAAACGGTGCTAGTTCACTATCGTTTCTTGGGATTGAGTAATATTCCATTGTGAGTATATACCACATTTTAGTTATCCATTCTTGAATTGACGGGCCTTTTTAGGAAGAGGCAAAGAAACACACTGTAACCAAAGTGTCTAAAAAAAAAATTTGTTAATGGGAGGTGAACAGGTAGAAGGGGGGAGAAGGGGAAGGGTACGCACTTTCATGGTGGGTGCAGGGCTCACCACTTGAAGACTGGACACGCTTGAAGCTCTGGCAGAGCCAGGTGGAGAGGGCGGCAGGGGCAAGATATGTAACCCTAACAATATTTGTACCCACAGAATTTGGGAAATAAATAAATAAATAACTGAGAACAGAAAGAAAAAAAATCAAAAACACAGCGTATAGAGGTAAATGCATAGAAAAAAATGTGGAGGGCTAAACTCAAGACTCTCCACGGGGCCAGGAAAGGAGGCTACTACAGGGGGTGAGTGGAGAAGAACTTTTCCTCTATGTACTTCCACATTGTTAGAAATTTTATGAACATGAATGTATAATATATTACTTTTTTATAAAAACTTTTAAATTAAAAATTAAGCAGTGGCATTTCTAAACCCATTTCCAGAGAAAAGATAGGATTTCTATCCTTCTTCCTTTCAGGTATCCCCTATCTTACAACAGGAAATTCAAGTAAAAAATAAAATTATTCAGTCTGCACTAGACTTTTGCCGTCCTGGGCCTTTTTCTTCCTTTTCCTCCTTCTGACCAAGGTCAATGGAGGAAGAACTCAGACCCCAACCCAGTCATGGGAACAGCCCAGGAGTGGCAGGACCCCCGTGCCAGGACAGGTGAGACCACAGCATCCAATGTTTAAAGTAAGCCAGGTGTTTACCAGAGCATCTATTTTCTAAACTACCTTCTTTGATATAACAAATGTGAAGGTAGAAGAAGGCAGAGGGACATGAGAGGGCTCGGAGGTCATGGAGAAATAACACATCCCATCTACACATCCATGCGTCAAAGACTCCTGGGTTCAGAGAGTCCTGGCCAGCTGAGCAGCAGCTGCAAACAAGGATGCCACGTGTGTTACGGCAAGCTGGACTCACACCAACAGCTGTCCTGCTGCAGTTTAAAAACACAGTTTCCTCATTCTATACTCTTTGATTTCATTATATTGCATACCTGTGTCCTTGCAAAGCAGGACTAAACTCAAGTAAAGCTTTAGACAGGAACTGCACTAAAGGCACAAAAGCAGCAATGTTGCCAGAGATGAGAAGGGAGATAAGGACTCACCTGACAGTCAGGTCGTGGCCTCCATCTGTCATCCTCAGAGCCTGGCCTTCAGTCCCTCCCGTCTGCCTGGCCTGTGTCCACTGTGGCTGCCCGGACTCTGGGCAGAAATTCTGCCCACAGACTGACTTACCCAGAGACGGCTCCGCCCAAAAGGGGAAAAGAGAAGTGTAAGTATTCATTTGTGCTCAGGACAGGCTGCTGACACTGTGTCTCCCCCTTCACTCCAAGCATTCCCAGCTTCCTGAAATGTGGCAGAGGGAAGGGGAAAGGCCCTGGGCAAGACCTGGAGGACCAGGAAGGAGGACCCCAGGACGAGCAAGGGAAGCTCCCAGGAGCCCACGTGTTTGTGCAAAAGGCAGAAAAAACATCCACTCGAATCCAAATTGGCCTCAGCTGCTTCTGCCTTCCAAGAAGTTGGCAAGGTTACTGCGAGTGGGGGTAAACTCCATGTTTCCTCTTCCCTTGCAGAGAAGGCTGTCGTACTGGGGGCAGGCTGGAGGGAAAGCCAGACACTTGACTCTCTCCCAGGCCCGTGGCAGAGCCTGGACGGACGAGTCAGGTCTGCGCATGCGCACACGGGCTGGCGAGAGCCGAGACGCGGCATCGGACGCGGGAGGGCGCGCTGGGGCGGGAGGCTGGAGCCAAGTGGTGGCAGCGGCTGACGTCGTAGGCGCGAGGGTTGAAGGCGCGTTGACTGCGGGGCTGCTACAACTCCGGGGTGAAGGAGAGACGCCTGAGCTTCGAGGAAGTCACCGGGACCTGAGAGGGCGAACGCTCTCGTTGGGGAGCTGGAGGTGGGAGCCAGGTGATCCAGAAGGAACGGGCAGGTGACCGGCCGGGGGACTTAGCCTCGGAGCTGCGTCACTGCCAGACGGTTCGTTCGGTTCGGAGCCCTCGGTCCGCACAGGGTGCGCAGCGACCTGGACGACGCCCGCGTCCGCCCAGCAGCCAAGGCGGAGACGGGGAGGCCGCGGGGCCGGGGCCTTGGGATCCAGGGCCGGGGAGCGGGGGGGGCAGGCGGGATTCGGGCCGGGGGGGACAGGGCTCCAGGGATGTTTTCCACATCGGCTCCCACTGAATCCGCCCCCTCCAGCTGTGGACAGGGTGACTGTCGGTCACACGTGACAATGTGGGAGAAAGGGGTTTCCACCCTCGTCCGCTTCTGCTCTGGAATTGCAGAATTATCCTGGAATTGCAGGCGCTGACCTTAGCAGACCCTGAGCAGACCCGTGGAAAATCTGGCACATTTATGTCAGTGCTGGCTCGGCTGTGGCCTGGGCCTGCCTGCTGCCTAGGGACACAGAGAAGAGAGAGAGGGGACGCCACAGCAGGCTGGTCAGGTCTGTGCCTGGCCTAGTTAGCCTAGTTTCCCCAATGGAGGACGTGAGCACCAGTCTGCTTGGGACAGACTCCAGGACACTGATGAGGACATCTTTTCCAGAGGGCAGGGTCCCTGTGCCTACCCAGTGCTGCACACCCTTATGTCTCCTTCTCTCTTGTGTCTCTGTCCCCAACCCCCGACTGTGGGCCAGAGGAGCTGAGCCTCTGTTGGGCACAGCTGCCGTCTGCTCCCAACCTCCCCATGGCATGGTGGCCCCAACTAGGCCAGGCACAGACCAGACCAGCCTGCTGCGGCGTCCCCTCTCTCTCTTCTCGGTGTCCCTAGGCAGCAGGCAGGCCCAGGCCACAGCTGAGCCAGCACTGACAGAAATGTGCCAGCTTTTCCCTGGGTCTGCTCAGGGTCTGCTAAGGTCAGCACCTGCAATTCCAGGGCAATGGGCAGCGGGCTAGGTGGGGCAGTACACAGGGTGACCTTCTCAGGTGGACACTCCCATGCCGATGCTGCCCCTGGCAGTGGGGAAGGGGACATTCATGAGATGGGATAGAGAAAGCTGAGCACGCACCACTCTCTGCAAAAGCAATGACAGTTTATGAAGAACCTGTAGGTTTTGAGGAGAAAGCAAAGTTTCTTTGATCCAGACAACAATGTCAGACCCACTGGGATTGGGAAAGGGATAGGATTAAATTAAGAATCAGGGTGAACTTCTAAAATCCTGCTAGATTGATAGGAAGGAAATAATGCAACGCCTGGGGCATTTTATGTAGCTGTAAAGAGCATTGGCAACAGGGAACATTTCTGCTGTCACAGAGGTAGCTCACGTAACCTGGAGCTCAGAAGACTTGGCAGCAGGAGAGCAGTCATTGGTGAAGGACACAACAGAGGACCTGGGATGGTGACGGGCTTTGTAAGCTTCACCAAGAGCAGCTTCGGTTCAGACTTCAGAAGTTGGGGTGATTCTCCAAGCTGGGAGGGACTCTGTGGGGACCAGAGGTGCACCCCCACAATGAGTAAGGTAGTCCACATCCTGGACTGGAGAGTTCAAGACAGGAGGCACCCACTGGAACATGAGGATGGAGAACCTGGCTACCCT